CCTATGGGTAATAAAGAAAACCGTAAATTAATACTATTTTAATCTTTTTATTCCTCCTTTATTATAAGCATGTTATAAATAAACAAATATCTAACCATTAAATATGAAGTTTTCTCAGGAATTTAATCAAAAAAGCCTTTGAACACTTTTAGAAGAGTAAATATTGTGCGTTAATTAAAATATTTATATAGGTCTGGTGGTACGCCAATATTTCTCAAAAAGTCAATTGGTACGCAGGTGCAAAAAGGTTGGGAACCCCTGCTCTAACCTATTACCTACTCGTCTACCTAATGAATGAATCTACATGCAAAGGTCAGGAATGCATTTATTAACTATAACAAAACATTATTCGAAAGTACCGTAAATATACCTAACTTGTTTTACCTGGAAGTGAACAGATTCAATAATGGCGAATTGTTCAATTCAGTTTGATCGTTCATAAGATATTTATTTCCATACTCTCCAACAGGTTAAGTTTCAAACCGTTCTTCTGGAAATGGAGGGGCTTGAATTCATGGTTGAACTCATGTCTCTCTGTGATTAAATGAGTGGCATATGTGGAATTTATTTTTCCATACTGGAAACTATTTTTGTGGTCGTTTATGCTGACTTTGAATGGTCTTCCAGTTTGACCTATATAAAACATCGGACATAACGCACATGATAATTCATACACTCCCGATTTCTCTGGAACTTATCTTTTATCTTTGTTATTCTTAATGTAATTCACGTTATTAATACATATCAACCTAAAAATAAATGATATAATATACACGAACATGCATCAAAATAGTTGTTTATAGATTTGAAATCCACTGAGAAAAAATTAGATTGAAATAAATTCAAAACATTGAAATTATAATGAAAATAACAAAACCAAAATATTCGAGTTGGATGATACAGAAATTACGTCAAAATCATTTACCTCATGTTTCATCATTTGGAAAACAGAGATTCACTTGTATAAGATCACGATACATATTCAATAAAGTTTGGATTTACCTCTGGAGTCCCACAGGGATCAAATTTGGGTCTTTTTGTTCCATTAAATTCAACCTGGTTAGTTTCACCCCAATTCGAAATCAATTCTACATCCTCATCAAGATATGCAACCTCCCGCTGTCGAGGAAGAGGTGCATAGAAATGAAAGACCTAGGAATTACATATAGTAATACATTATAATTCAAGACTCATGTGAGAGAAATTACAAAAAATGCAAATGAAATGTTAGGGTTCATTATCAGGCAAAGAAATACGGTTGAAAACGGTTGAGTAGTTTTTGAGTGTATCGATTACAAATGAATCAAAATCTGTTCTCTTTATGAAAAAAATGTTTGATTACATTTTGAAAAAATCAATGCTCGATGTGATGTTTGGATGATTTTTTCAGGGTGACTCAGGAGGTCCTTTAGTCCTTCAGCGACCAGACGGCCGATACCAGCTAGCAGGAACAGTATCCCATGGTATCAAATGCGCAGCACCGTACCTACCAGGAGTGTATATGAGGACGCAGTACTTCAAACCATGGATAACGTCCATTACTGGAGTGACTTCTCCTTGAAAATCATTTCCATCATGATAAAATTTACAAAATGATTGAATTTTTTACTATGCTACGTGCCTTTGAAGTGGAATTCGAAAAAATAATGGTGTGAAATTATCGATCTCTCATATTTATTCGGATAAATCTGCTTTTGAACTGATAGGAATTTCGGAAATCATCAATTGAGGAAATTATGTTCATATCAGATGGATTTTTATAGGGATACTAAAGACAGTGTCATGATATTTTTCCTACTACAGCTTCATGTAGTGAGGTCAAAAATGAAAATTTATTGATTGTTACCCATAGAATGTTTCATAACAAACTTCAGCTTGTTCACGAATTCGATATAACTGGGCAGTTACTATTCATTACCTGAAATAACTTTTTTGCGCATGTTTTAAGCAGATATTTGAGTATTTTAATATTCGAATGGAAAATATTTACTTCGTTAAAAGCAGAGTCCATATTGAGATTCAGAGGTGACGAAATTGTTATATCAGGAAACCTTTTTGGTAAAAAAAATAGTACGATTAAAGCTCGTCGCCCACTTGTCCGGCACAGTACGGCCTGTCCCGTAAAAATACGGATAGGATTGGAACAATGAAAATGAATGGACAACCACTCACTTGCCCGGCACGGCACAGCCAAGAGCGTTCGCCGGACAGGATTCCAGCTCTCCGATCCTGTCCGGCAAATAACGGTACGTGCTGTGACGGACTGGCCAAATGAGCGCGTCGCTGGCCAGCGCTTGCCAGCATCAACTTGTCCAAATGTGCATGGGAAGTTTCTGTTTCTCTGTTTTGCTATTCCATCAGTTGACAGCACAGTGTCGGACGGTGCGGACGGAAAAATTGAGTTGCTTATTAAGGCAGGCTCCAAAATTTCCAAAAGTTATGAAAATTTTCCTGGAGTCATTCGGAAATACTGGAAAAATGTCTCCATGTCTTCTTTCAGATCGTTGAAAAGATGGTGAATGTTGTGGGTCCATTCCATTAATCACAAGAGGGCAAATCTGGGAGAGTTTTTTCATCTTTTCAACGATCTGAAAGAAGACGAGGAGGAATTTTTCCAGTAGTTCTGAATGACTCGAGGCAAATTTTCAAACTTCTGGATATTCTAGAGCCTGCCTTCACAAGTAACTCAATTTTTCCTCGTCCATTTTCATAGGTACCGTATGAAACAGAGAGACGGAAATTTCCCAGGAATGTTTGGACAAGTTGATGCTGGCAAGCGCCGACCGGCGACGCGCTCACTTGGCCAGTCCGTCACAGCACGTACCGTTATTTGCCGGATAGGATCGGAGAGCTGGAATCCTTTCCGGCGGCTGACGCTCTTGACTGTGCTGTGTCAGGCTAGTGGACGGGACGTGCTGTGCTGTGCTGTGCCGGAGAAATGGGAGACAAGCTTTATCAACTCCAAACAGAAGAGAATTAAAAAAAAAGACATAACAAGACTAATTTGATTGCCTTGTTTGTTTGCTGTTATTACATTTATTTCGAATCAATAAATAGAAGTTTGTGTCACAAACAAAATTCAAAATAACATACAATTGACAGCATGCCTATCCGTCACTAACCTACACAAGTATTCTGGCAAATACCTATCAAAAAAACACTTCATTTACTGGGGCTAATACCATGACAGACATTGCATATCCAAAAAATATTTGGGTCAGGATGTTCAACTAAATTATCAGGAAAGACAGTTTCGATCATTCTCAATTTCATCGAATGTATTTGCATTTATGGAATAATTGAGTGGAAATTAGAATGGCATAATAAAATCAGTACGATTTAATACATGCGAGATATAGTAGGGCGTAGTCAAATATCTCTTTCAAGTTGAATGGGCCGTGTTCTAAATTTCGCCTAATTGACACTGAATTAATAAAGTTGGCTGATACTTGATGAAAATCTATGGTAAACTTTCTGACAAGCAATTTATTATAAGAGGAATTTATTTTTTAGGTTATATTGAAACTCATAATAATAATAATCGGCTTTATTCATCGAATGATTACAAATTAAATACAGTGTAACAATCGATGAAAGGCGAAGTTCACCTTGTGCTGTTTTTCAACTTAACCTAGAAACTTAGCACTATATTCTTTCCGTAGTTTAGAATATACAACCTGTATTCTCTAATCATCTTCTGAACTGTCTGAATTTGATTTATTTATTTTTCAAAAAGTTGTTGAGACGCAGGAATGACTCACTAACATTTTCGTTCATTTGAGTGGATAAAAAAACTTTTCACAGGACTTGCAGTGGTCCTATTCATTGTAGGCTCATTGTTTTTCCAATTAAATTGATGGATGTAGCCGTTACTACGTGGTGGGAATTCATAATAAAGAAAAGAGAAATTAAACTTTCTATGTTTTTTACCACTTTTATTTGTAACTAACGTTACTGCAGTTTCGTCCTATACGGACATTTTCATTTTTCTTTTCTTCATTATGAACATACAAGTTTTATTACGAAGCAAATCACTCTGAAAAGTAGCATATTAATCTCAAGATGAAAAAATAACCTTTGTTTTCCTTCAAATTCGATCTGGGAAGTACTCTAATATTAAACTGACTTCTAGTTAGGTCTTATCTTTTCTTAATTCTATACCTGTTTCTTCAATGAATGAGTACCTAAATTTCAAGTATTGTTCTGCCCATTCTCTCAATGGATAAAGGATATTACAATTGAATCAATAAACTTCATACAATTCAACTATTCCATGTCATTCACTGTCATTTGAATAAAATCATATCTCCTAAATAATGGTTTCAGTCCAAACTTTAATTATAGTTTCTGATTATTTCAAAATGAATGTTAATTCATTTAGAGTGGTTAAATAAATGTCAATGATTTGGTTTCTCTTTCATGATGCAGATTGCTGTATAATTAAAAAAATTGATTAATATTTTTCCTGTTTCTACAACATTATGGAAGTTTATAGTTCATTCTTGCTCAATACTTGATATAAGTCCGTTTCTTTCCTGAAATTTAGTTTCTCCGCCACAGTGTTTGCCTCAAATTCACCCCCACGAATATACAAGGTGTTCAACATAATTTTTTTTATCATTATGTAAAGTTTTGTGCCATTATTTGAAATTTTTACTTTAATTACTTGAAAAATGTAAGATTCCATGTTGCATCAACAACAAATGCTCATTGAAATATAAAAGTAATACTTCAAAACACATATTACAATACACTATTTTGGGAAAAACAAGGACAATGTAATAAAAACGGTAATGGAAAGATTATAGTCACAAGGATTTTCCAGTACACAAGCAAAAGAAGATGCTAATAGGTACAAAATTAAGACCTCCATAGTATTTGCCAGATATTCTAATAAAACTGGCATAGTTGTGTGGTCAAGATATTGATATTTTCATACTTTTGAATCAATTGAATTCAAAAAATCATGACATTTATTTTCTGGATGGAAATGTGACAAATTTATTTGTTATTGTTTCAAATATGAATCCTTTAAAAATATATCTGCATTTCTGAATTGTTTTTCTAGTTGCAATAAAATATCTGGATTTGCCGGAACAAAAGACATAATAAATTCATCATTGAATAATAAAAATGTATCAAATTTTACCATCTTTTGTGAGGAATCTATAAACAAAAAAGATATAAAAAATGCATTACAATCAAATCTATTTATGAATGTGAAAATGACAAAATAACACTAAATCAATTAAAATTTCGAAAAAGTCCATTAGCAAAAAGTAAATTATCTTTCATGATCATTGTCTTCGCAGACGATGATGATGAAAGCAACCGGTTTTATTGTCCAATATAATTGAAATTTCAGCTATTCAATCTATTTTTATGTATTCTTTCATATATTTCGAATCATATTGAAAAATGGAAGTGCGAACTAATGAAATTCATTATTGAAAAGTTTCAATTACATAGGCGAGCAGCTCGGCTTTGAAAATATCTACCGCGGCAGTAGACGAAACGTGAGGCATAAAAACGTGCATACCACGGCCAGAAAACGCGGAAAAAAACCTTCATACAGTTATTTGCGGCCGTGAAGGTCTACATTCTTCGATTAAACCAGGTAGTTTATTGCAGTTGATAAGCCNCCCCTTCACCAAGAGAAGAAAATTTGACGATCTAACGCCACTTTTTCTTAATGTTGCGGTCATTTCATTTGGAATGAAGGTGTAATATCTTGGCATTGTCCTTGATAAAAGACTCACGTGGAACGCTCACTTGAAAAAAGTTTTACACAAAGCCAGAGTGTCTCTATGGACATGTCGAAGGATTTGTGGTAAACCTTGAAGTTTAGGTCCCAAACAAATCCATTGGATTCATGTGATGATTGTCAGACCAATGATCACTTATCAATAAGGTTTTACAGAAAATGGCCCAAGCGAAGCTCTCTGGCTTACAGAGACAGGCTTGTCTAGCTATCAGTGGTGCCATCAGTACCAAACCGTCAGCGGCCATGGAGATCCTTCTCAATCTACCCTCTCTTCACATTTTTTCGGAAAGAGAGGTTATATGGACTGCATAAAGGTTTGTGTACATTGCCAATTGCACTAATCAATTCAATGCAGAGTGCAACAGACTGTTGGTTGACATTGGAAGTCACATCATTCTGGAAATGACCTCTGACTTTATGCCCCGAACTGTCAACTACAAACTGCCTTATAAAGTACTATTCCCGAGTAGAGAGGACTGGATCCTTCGAGAGAAGGAAATATTAGGAGCAGATAGTTGTTGCTTCACAAATGGATTGAAAACACCTTCCGGTTCTGGTGCAGGTGTTTTCAGTCGCAGACCCAGAACAGAGTTATTTACCTGCCTAGGAACTTATGCGACTGTATTTCAAGCTGAAATTTACGCTATTGAATTGTGTGCGGAGAGATTGGGTGAATCCAACCTCACTCATCAGTCAGGTATTGAGTTTTTTCCTCATATCTGGACGCCAAATCTAATAGGAATAACCAAGTACACCTATGAGGATTTCGCAAACGTAGTCAAAAAACTCGCTCAAATTTTAGTGAAGAGTGAATTCTGTGAACAACATAAAATCGTTGAAATAAAGTACTCTTCTCCTAAATATAACAAAATCAGCTTGCACCATGAGTTAAATGAAGGAAACATGAGAACGATTGCTGCTACCCGACGTTGGTTTCGCAAAAGTCCACTTTTTTGAATTGTATACTTGCATTTTTGTTGTTTCATGGAATTTTTCGATACCTCCGTTATTTGTGTTATTTTTTAACACAAGGATAAATTGTTGTTTATTACAAGCATTCAGTTGAATACTAGCTTTTCCACAAACTCTTCACACCCAGCCGTCCCTGTGTGTACTAGGTCAGAACGATTGGTCAAGATTCCTGATCGATATATGAGTTAGCTGTTTTGTAACTCAACATTGCAAAATGTGGGAGAATGTTGGAGTTCGAGAGTTGCACCCTCCTCCTTCCCCCACTCCACCTTCAACAGAAAGGGCACTTCCTGCGGTGGGCGCCAAGAGCTCCGTCTTGAATAAAGGCAAGAAACC